CGGAATGGTACAGCAGGGTTACAAAGAGTGGTAAGTGCAGTGATAGGGACCCATTAGGGCAATACGACAAGCAGAACAGAACTTTGTTAATTTCTTATTATTAGATTACGACCACTACCCAGCAAGGTTTGTGATTCAGTGAAAGAATCTCTTCGCTCGATGTCATTTGCTACAAAACTATTCGACCCTCTGTAATCTGGAATTCTCAACTAATGATATCTCCGTGAAGGAAAGGGTCCATTGATAAAGAACATCTGATAACGGTGCTATCATCGCTCAGAACATCTCCACAACATCGTCTTTGGTTGTCTAACAGTTGGATTTTTGATGGATTTTTCTTTTGAATGAAGGGAGCAAGAGATCGGGAATCCCAATTAAAGGCGTAAGCACCGACTTCCACTGCATACCATTTGCACTGCCCCGTTAGTCCTGTGCCGAATTTCATGTACAGGAAACTATTATTTGTTTCAAAAAAAGGAGTGGAGAGTTTGCCGCCTTACTACAGCTTTGTCAAAGAAGGAGGGAAGCCCGGCGAGCTGACAGTGTAATATGCTACGACGACATTCGAGCTCTGTTTCAGTTTCATACTCTCTCTCTCAGCTACACAGCACAGAGGAGAGCCTGGCGTTAGCCGGGCGATCCGACTGGTACTTACATATACGGCTCATCTTCACACACGAGCTCATCTTCACTCATGAGCAACAAACCATTCGCTTCTGTCTTTTGCGATCGCCAAATTCGAATGCGTAAGGAGTTTGTTGCAGCTTTTTCATATTACTACGTGCCCATTAGTAGCGTATTGCCAAAAACTTCAGTCACTAAAGTAAGTTAATGTTCTATCACTATTCACCTGAAACGCCTTATTTTACCGAGAGCATCGAGGCACTGTAGCGGATCCATCGAGATCCAATTTCGATCCGTTGGAACTGCATACCAGCGACGGAGACCATCTGAAGGACGATTGCACATTTTTATCTCGAGTAACTTATTCTTCAGACAATGAGAAATATCGCAAATGTACAAAACCTAGAAAATTGGGGGATGATTCCTTGAGTCGAATTTTCAGGAACAATGAATCCACCGATGATCGCATCAACTTACCCGTATTTCCCTTGTTCTAGGCAGCTTTAGCGTGAAATTCTACAAGCAGATTGTAATGACACACCTAAAAAACAGGATCGCTGCAGAAGATCACTGAAAGTTTCATAAAGCAAGCAACAGTAGCAGGAGAGCAAAACAAAAAAGACTAGCACACTAGTCATTGACGTATTCATTGGTAGCATGAACTGACACTCATTTATTCTGCTTATCCTTACTTTATATAAAGCGCTCGCGTCTGTCTGTCCGTCCGTCTGTCTGTCT